ATGGAGGGAAGAACTAATGGAATATAAGGTAACCACAATGGTGTGGTTGGGGTGGGGGGCTTAGGGGGAGGTAAAGGAAGGCGATGGCAGAGCACAGGTTAAGGGCAGACACATCATAGTTCGGGTGTTGGGAGGGCAATACAAGAAGGGAGAGGAGGTGGAAGAAGTATGAGAGACAAAGTTTGGCCATCTTGGCCTCCAAGGAGCACTCTGGCTGCACTTCTTCCAAAACGTATCTATTGGCTCTTTCGGCAGCCCATGGCACTTTCAATATTCTCCTCCAACACCATAACTCAAATGCGTCAATTCTTCTATGGTCTTCCTTATTCACTGTCCAGCTTTTGCATGCATATGAGGTTATTGAAAATACCATGAGTCATTATTTTCACATATTAATTATTAATTATGAAACTCAAATCTTAAGGGAATATTTTAGCATAAAATTTTAATCTACAAGCATATGCTTTCCATATGCTTACTTATATATCTAATTTCGAGTTGTGTTGCAGAGCACATTCATAAAGTTAAGGAATTGAGATGTGTGGTAAAAACTGGAAGATACCAATTGCACTATGCATTTACACGTGTTTTGAGGAGAGGAAGATTACATGATCAGAAAATGGTAGCACTAGAAAACCTAAGTTTTCTACTAAATATAAAGAGTATAAAACAGTAAGCATTCAATACATCTTGAGACGCTATTAACAAATGCACTGCCAGAACAGGACTACAGGTACCATGTGTGCCATTAGACAAGAGTCTAGTTCCAGGCACACAAGGGTGTAATAAATAATAAATACAGCTAGCGCCAGCACAGAAGTATGATAGAATCTAGGGCCAAGCATTCAATTTTTCTTCTGATGCTATTTGAAATGGACACTACCATTAAAGTTTTATGATAGTAATATGAGAGTGGTAAAACATCAGCTAACCACTAAAATAAAAAAGCAAACATTACCAATCTTGAAAAAAAAAAAAGGCAAGGTCATAATTATGTTGATAGAGAATTAATTTCAACTATATTTATTAAGTGAATATGAGTTCAAGCCATTAAAAGAAAACATATGACGGGGAGGGGAGGCAGTAGAGATCAAACTAAAATTCAGGGGAGACTAATGAGCTACTGAGTTTGAAAAAGAACAAGTGGGGCAAGGGAATCTGCGTCTTCGGGGACAGAAAGAGGAAGACAGAAAAATATTCAAGGACTTAAAAGGGATTTTCACAAGTAAATATGGAAAGGAATGAGCCTAATTAACAAAAAAAGGGGTCCTTATTTGAACTAGCAGTCAGGGTACCATCATTAATCAATGATAGAAACCTAAAAACCCCACTGGTGTCAAGTCAATTTCAACTCATAGGGACCCTATAGAATAGAGAATTGCCCCATGGGGTTTCCAAGGCTGTAAATTTAGGACGCAGAATGCCATATCGTTCTTCCAAAGTGCAGAAGTGGGTTCCAATCTTTTGGTTAGCAAAAATAACTTTAACCCCTGTGCCACTAAGACACCTTAACTCTTACAAGGCATTCAAATATGTGTCGAACATAGGTTAATGCATTTACTCCTCCCACATCCCAAGAAAGTTGCTGTCATGTGCTACGGAGTTGGTTCTTACTCATAGAAACCCTGTATAGGGTTTCTAAGGCTGTAAATATTTATTGGGCCCAGAAAGTTTTAGCTTTCTCACAGAGTGGCTGGTGAATTCAAATTGCTGACCTTGTGGTTAGCAACTCAACAGGTAACCCACTATGCCAACAGCCTCCCAAGCAGTTGTTGTTAAGTGCTGGTGAGTTGGTTCTCACTCATATCGGGAGCCTGAATAGGGTTTTCAAGGAGCGGCTCGTGGGTTTGAACTGCGGACATTGCACATATCAGCTCAGCGCTTATCCTATAGTGCCACACACCAGAACTCCTTCCAAACAAGTAGGTCCTATTATTTCACAGATGAAGAAACGGCAACCACACAGTGCAAGTTAACAATAGGAGGGACTTGAACACAGGATGGCTACAGAGGCTGACAGCTCGCCATGACACTGCATTTCAGCAAGCTCCTACTGATTTTATACATTAATATGGAGAAGAGAAGGTGACCTGGTGATGTAGTGGCTTACGTGGTAGGCTGCTAACAGTAAAGTCGCAGTTCGAATACACTAGTCGCTCCATGGACTAAAAAAGAGGCTTTCCGTTCCCATAAAGATTTAGAGTCTCGGCAACCCTTCATAGGGAACGCTGTGAGTCGGAAAGACTAGACCGCACACTCTGAAACTTCTCAATTGAGTCTGGGCCCCCCAAAAATGACCCTCTACTTTAGCTCTCCAGTGAGGAATATGAGGTTCTTTGGAACTCGGAAAAGCATCTGGTCTGAGTAACAGATGGAGGAGTGTGGATCATGAGTTTTTAAGTGCTGTATAGTCGGTTCAGATTCATAGCAACCCTGTAAAAGGTTTCCCAGGGTTGGCTGGTGGGAATGAAGCGCCGCGCATGCGGTTAGCAGTTCAGTGCTGATCCTACACACCCCTACCGCGCCACACCAGCAGGAAAAGTCAAACAGGCAGACTGAGACATAGACATCACCCTTCCCCTCTGATATGCTTACAAGCTCCGCTGTCAACCCAAAGGTCCGCAGTTCAACCACACCAGCTGCTCCGCGGGAGAAAAGACCTAGTGATCTGCTCTAGTAAAGATTTCTGATGAGCCCGAGAGTGTAGAAAGCTGTCCTTCTGCTCTCCCACGAGGTGTTTCTTACGGCGCTGCCTCTCCCCAGTACGCCCCCGCTCCTGTGCTACCCCGCCATATCGCGTGGGAACAAACGAGGGCGCGAAGCGCAGGGAAGCGAAGGTAGTGGCGAGCGCACCGGATCATCCCAGATTCCCGGCCCGCGTCGCGCCCGCATCTTACCACTGCCGGGCTGCTCAGGGCGAGCGCCCGCGGACTGTCGGCCGAGCTGGGGCAGCGGCGCGGCCCCGCTGGAGTTCGAGTTCCAGGACGCCAGACGTGCGCGCGCCCTCTAGACGGCCAGAGAGGGAGGAAGGGTCATGGCGTCTCCACTACCCGGCAGAGGCGGCGACTGCAGTCAAGATCATAGAACCCTTAGTCCGCCCTCACCCTGCCCAGCCACTGCCGGTTTACCCAGCGCGAGCTTTGGCGGCGGAATAGCACAGTGCATGCTAATTGGTCCGCCGCACATGTGACGTAAGGCGTTGCTCCCCATGGATTGGCCAATCTGTCAGTGCGTGCAAGAAGTAAACAAACCCCGCCCGCAGGCTACAATGTGGGCGTGGCCTTCAGGTGAGGGGTGTGGTCTCGTGCGCCCTGCTCACGCCCACGGCGTCTGGGAGATTTCTTTGAAGTTCCCTGGAGCGGGAGGGGTTGCAAAGAGGTGCCGAACCTATAGGGATACGCCCTCGCTCCGGAGATGAGGGTGGAGATCTCGGGTTTCTCTTCTGCCCCTACCTTCCCATTTCCATCTCCGACCTCTGCCCTTGCTGGGGTGCAGCGAGGACTGTTGGGGGGCAAATGGCAGTAAGA